CTGCCCTGGTGACTCCATGGTGTGCAGGACAGTAGTCCTCAGGCTGCGCCTGCCCTGGTGACTCCATGGTGTGTAGAACAGCAGCTCTCAGGCTGTGCCTGTCCTGAATGACCTTATTTTGTAAAGTAGTGGTTTGCCACAAGCTACTCTATTTTGAGTACAGATGCCAAGGTGATGATCCCACAAGTTAACAACCTCCTCTTCCAGGCATCAGTATAAGGAACAAATTGATAAAAAGCACCTATTCAGGGGCTGGGGTTGTGGATCAGTGGTAGAGCACTCGCCTAGCATGCGCAAGGCACTGGGTTCGATCCTTAGGACCACATAAATGTAAAATAAAGATATTGTGTCCACCTAAAGCTAAAAAATAAATATTAAAAAAGCACCTATTCATGCCAAATTTTCTATGCAACACTGGAGAAATGCTGTCTCGGGTGGTAGCACCCAGAAGTGTTCCATAATGAAATAGAGATGGGGGCTGGGGATGTGGCTCAAGCGGTAGTGCGCTCGCCTGGCATGTGTGCGGCCCGGGTTCGATCCTCAGTACCACATACAAAGATGTTGTGTCCACTGAAAACTAAAAAATAAATATTAAAATTCCCTATCTCTCTCAAAAAAAATTTTAAAAAAAGAAAAAGAAATAGAGATCGTTTATCCAGGGTCATACCCCGGTGCCCCCCAAGGAATCAGTGGGGGGTACTGTTAAATGGGCCTCTTTCCCTAAGGGCTGACTAGCCTGGGTGAGGGACTGCTGAGTCCCACAGTACCTCGTGGATAGCTCTTGGCTGGCTGAGCAGGAGCTGCCTGGTGGGTGGGTAGCAGTTCCAAGAGGAGGAACCAGGCGGGCAGCAGGTTTGGAAAGACACTGCTCTAACTGGAGACAGGGGAAGGAGTCCTTCGGTGGGTTGGACTGCAGTTGAAGAACTGGACAAAGGAGGGACTCCTGTTTAGGTCTTGGCTGGCTTGCAGGCAGTGGCCCAGGGCCTGGTCAGGCAGAAGGGCAATAGGACCTATCAATGGGACATCTAACTGGGGCATGGCCTATGGAACTCTGGGGAGCTCATTAGTGGGACACGACACATCAGAAGAGCTCCCTTGCAAGTCTGCACAGTGACACAATGACAAGCAGATGTCCCATGTGCTCAGCTTAGGTGGCCACCTGGGTCCACAAAATGAGAGGATGTGGGGAGCAGCAGCAGAGCAGACATGGCTGTCTAGCAGCCAGTCAGGGACCACTATAGGGACAGAGGGGGACACTCAGGCCATATCCACCTATCATCCCTAAAAATATGGTATGTGGAAAGGATAGAGAAACCTGAGGCCTCAAGCCCCACCTCGTCATTCCTTAAAATTGGCAGCATTTCCCTTTCTCCCTCACCCTAACTTTTCTCAACAATCTTATTGCAAGGTCCAAGATGACCATAAGACCAGATGCACCATAAAAGCCAGATATTGGTGTCTCTGAGTAAACCAAGCAACTAAGGATCCAAATCCTCTACAAAGAGGGAATTCTTTAACACACACACACACACACACACACACACACACACACACACACACGATGAGTGAGAGATGCCAGACCCTAGCTCTTCACAGTAACCTGATAAAAGGCTGGCCCTTCCTTTGCTCAGGGCAGCCTGATGTCTTGCTCCCAGGACGGTCTCCCCTTTCCTGGACCGTACCCTGCTTCCCCAGTTAAACCTAGGCCTGGGTTCATGCTCCTTGCCTTAGCTTCCTTTCTACTGCTACTGGGTCATAAGTGCCCAAAGAACTGCTTTGTCTGCCAGCAAGAGGCAGACTGCGGGTGGCCCTGAGCCCTGGGTGGGTAGGGGTCTGCATGTAGCTGTCTGGAGAGCTGAACCCAGGCAGGAAGGGACACTATGCTCACACTCATGTGAGTGGGCCTGAAGGAGTGTCCCACTGGGTTTTCTTCTGCCTAGGTGGATCTGGGATGAGGTTGGGGCACGATACTGCTTGACTGCACCAAGGTAAGAGCACCCCTGGGTTTTCTCTCTTGGTGATGCTGAGTAGCGTCAGAGCAGAACTGAGTTGGAGGACACCCAGCTGTGTCCACGATGGCAGCATTGCTTGCTTGGTGGGCACCACAAGTGTTGTAGTGTGAGAATGCAGGAGAAACCGAGTTTGCTTTTCCCTTCAACATCTTTAGTACCCCAGACCCCTTCTCCACTCAGCTGCCCAGCCACCAGGCCTCTCCTCCAGCCTCTGCTCTCAAGGGTGGCACAGAGCAAGACTGGCAGAGGGCCACAGGGAAGCCATAGTCCCCACCAGTCCCTCACCTCTGCAGCTCTTTTTCCACCTGCTTCTGGTACAAGGCCCCTTCTCGCAAGATGGCAGCAGTGTTCAACTTGATAGGGATATTGTCAGGCTGCAGGAGAGGGAGGAGCTAGCTGGGGGCACTCAGGGGCAGCCAGTGCCCTCCCATCGTGCCCTACCCACTTGCCCTTACTCAAGTACTTCCCTCTGCCTCTAGGGCAAGGCCATCCTCAGGGCCCCTGGGTCCCCCAGTTCCTACCCTCAGAGCTTAAGGAGGCAGAACAGGTATTGGGAGGTATTGGGGGGTGGGTGCCAGGGAGGCCTGACTGGCCAGGAGTGCCCCTTACCCTGTAGAAGGTCAGCTTTGGGGATTTTTGGATGTGGGTTGGGCACCCAAGCTTCTTCTTGGAGTCCTGGAGAAGTCAGGCAGGGGGATAGCCTGGCACCTGTTTCCTCTAAGTGTCCCCAGACCTCCTGGGTGGACGCTGGACCAGCATGCCTAGAAATCCCAACTCCAGTGTTCCCACCCTGGTCCCCAGGGCAGCATCTGGGGTCTTCGGAGGCACTGAACTGTCCAGGTGGGGACAAGGTTCTCCTAGGTCTTCGGAGGCACTGAACTGTCCAGGTGGGGGCAAGGAAGATGCAGGGCCTGCTGGGCCTGGGGTCAGTGGTCCCAAGATGGGGCAACTGGGCGTTAGGGCTCAATGTCCTACTCTTTAGCTCCCCCAGGTGTGAGGTCTCACGGCCCCATGCCCTTTCCTGGGCAGCACCCTGAGTCTCTGTCACCTGCCCAACCTCCTCTGGTCCTGCTGATCCAGCTGGCAGGGGCATGATGAGCCACAGTGTGGGGGTAGAAGACTGTGGTTGCCCCTGGGTATGCTGCTGTGGGGACAAGGGGCCTGGGCCCGCCCTGCTGCTACGGAGGGATTGCCTGTGCTCCAGAATGTGTTCCTCCAGATGAAACTCTCTGTCTCCTGTCCCTTTGATTTTTTTCCCTAGCCACCATCCCTGGCTTGTCTTTTCGTGAAGTGTGACATGCTCAGAGGCACCCAGAAGCCCAGAGATGGCAGCCAGGCTGTTTCCTCCCCTGTGCAACTTTCCTCCTGTGGCTCAGGATGGGTCCTATCCTGCCCACTCTGCGGGGCTCCAGGGTCACTCCTGCTGTTACTGGGAATCTGCCCATGGTGGGAAAAGGCTCAATTAGTGTGTCATCATGTTGGCATTTTGGCATTGAAAATAGAAAGGCTTGGTATACCCCAGCCTTTCTAAAATTTTATCTTGAGACAGGGTCTCGCTACATTGCCAAGGCTGGTCTTGGACTTGAGATCCTCACTGGGATGATAGATGTGGCCACCACACCTGGCAGAAGGAGCTTTCCTTGCTGTCATGCAGACTGGCCTAGGGTCTGAAGGGCCACTGTTACCTGCTCAGGCGGTGCCCTATGTGCCCTGGGCATGGCGCACCGCAGTTCCTCCACGTTCGCCCTCAGCAGCAGCTCCTGCCGAGACAGAACACAGCTCCTGCTCTGCCAGCTTCTACCACGCGTGCCTAGCCACCATCTCCCATCCTCCTCCTGCTTGTCCCACTTTCCCCCTCTCCTAACAGGTCCTGATGGGGCCTCTAGAGAGGCAGGGGACACGTGTGGCCACCTCGGCCTTCAGGCGGTTGTGCCTCTTGATGATCTGCAGCTGCTGTTGCTCCTTGGGCTCCTGGTAGGTACTCCGAGGGACCTGGTGGGGTGGTGAGAGGGAGAATCTTTGGTCAGTGCCTGTGATTTAGAGGGGTCTAGCAAAACCAGCATTTTGGCATTGAAAAGGATTTTGGCATTTGCATGTGACCAGAGGGTAGGCAAAGGGGTGGATGGTGCCAGTTATAGGATAGCGAATGGTGACCTGGGCCCCAAGAGAAGTGGGGCTGGAGCAGGACCTGCTGAGCCTTGCCTGGGACCCTGGGTGCTGGTCAGGAGGGACATGCTCAGGCCAGGAGTTGGTGTGGGGTTTGGAGTATGGGATGGGGGTGGGCAGAGGCAGAAGTGAGGTCAGCAGCACTGAGGGCACATTGCGGCCTGGATGAGATGGCCAGGATCAGCGGGGAGCAAGATGGGGTGCTGCCAGCTCCCCAGAGTGAGGGAACATACAGATGGTGACTAAGCAGAGGGCTGGGAGAATGTCGTGGACTCCAGAAGAGTGGGTTGCCCCTGAGGGATCCCGCAGTGACCAGGGTGGCCATGGGCACCTCTGGTGGGCTCAGCCATAGGAGGCTCTCCATAACCTGCCAGGAGTCCTGTCCATCAGGAGGCAGGCCAAAGCCAGCCTGGATACCCCTGAACTCCAGACTGCTGAATTCTTGCTCCCACCTCCTTCCTAGTGTCTCACAGGCACCACAGACTCAGCGGTGTCCAGCTGGAGCCCTCGTCTTCCCCCAGCCCTCCCACCCCCAGCCTTGCAGACCTGGATCCTGATGCTATCTTCCCTGAGCCCTGGTCAAGGCCTCAGAGTTATCCTCGAAGGCTATCCTACTCGTACCCATATCCAGTCTTGCCCTTCTGCTTCTCCACGAACTGCCTGTCACCTCCCTCCTCAGCCACGGCCGCTGGAGGGGACTTGTGTTGGCACTGGCCTAATGTGGCATGTGTCCCGAGTCTGTTCCTGCCAGTAGGTGTGTGACTAGCTCGCTGCCTCCCTTCCCTGCCCCTCCTGGATGCCCTCCAACACTTGAGGGAGGAAGACGCTCTCCTGGGGCCTTTGCTCATGGTCTGTTCTTTCCTTGACAACCCCTGGCCCACTTGCTCCTTCCAGCCCTTACTACCTGGAGTCACAAATGCTTCAATGTTTCTTGACTCCTTGCCCCATGTAGCTTTCTGCTAAGCACTTGTCACCAGCTGGCATTTTGTCAGGGTCCCAGTGGGAGAGCCAGCTCAGGAAGGCATGGTGCCTGGTGCATCCTAGGCATGCTGTAACTGCTGAACAGGTGAGTGAGTGAATTGGAGAGGCCTTGGCTTGGGAGGCGAAAGGACGTCTGAGAAGGAACAGGGTGGGGGTGGGGGGGTGGGGGAGGCAACTAGAAGGAAGAAGCCTACAGCGCTGCAGGGAAGGCAATGTCCACCAATAGCTTACCACTTGTGTTGAGAGACACAGAAAGAACAGGAACCAGCATGTGGAGGAGCAGGGCAGGAGCTGTGCCAGGTGTGGGGGGGGGGAGAGGGAGAGAAAGAGGAGCAGAGGGCCCCATGACCTGAGAAAAAGACATGGATCCCTGGAGAGATGGGGTCAGGAATGCTGAAGTCCTGCAGGTGGGGTAACTTGTTTAACAACAAGGTCCCTGATCATCTATCTGCCCATCCATCATCTGCCTGTCTATCTAGCTATCCATCCATCTAACCACCTGTTATGGTTTGGATGTGAGACAGTTAGTGTAGTTAGGTAAATCGGGTCTAATATCGAGTAAAATCAAAGCTCACATGTATTCAGAGAAGAAATGATTAGGTTATAAGAGTCTACTTCAATCATCGAATTAATCCTTGATAGGGATTAACAGTGATAACTGAAGTGGTAGGGTGTGGCTGGAGGAAGTGGGACTTGGGAGTGTGGCTTTGGGGTATGTATTTTGTATCTGGAGAGTAGAAATTCACTCTCTCTGCTTCCTGATCATGATATTGAAGCCAGATTTAAAGTTACGTAGTTAGTGTAGTTAGGTAAATCGGGTCTAATACCGAGTGAAATCTAAAATGGAGGCCATGCTGGGAATGACTCAGGGAAAACAGACCAACTCATGGAATGTTTATGAAGTCCTGAAGAGGCCCTAGGCCAAAGTCCACCTCAAAGAAGTGTAAACCAACAGCCCCAACAGATTTGGAAATAGCCCATCCCAGAGAAGTGATAATCCCATCCCAAAAGGTGATAATTAGGCCCACCTGTGTCCCACCCCTCGGGCCTTCCAACCTATAAAAAGGGAAACAACTGCACTTCCACGGATTCCACCTCCTGGGTCCCCTTCTTCCTCCGGAAGAAGTCTTTTCTGCTGTCCTTTAATAAACTTCTAATCTCTACTCTGACCTTGCTTCAGCGTGCTTCTTTGGTGTTATTCTTCAACATCGGGGCAAGAACTCGTCACCGGTCAACAGCGGAAACAATATGAGCTGTTTCCCTTTGCCACAACCTTCCACCATGATGTTCTGCCTCACCTAGAGCCCTGAGGAATGAAGCCAGCCTTCTACGGACTAGGAGCAATGGAACTGGCCTTCTATGGACTAAGACTTCTAAAACTGTGAGCCCCCAAATAAACCTTTCCTACTTTACAGTTGTTTTGGTCGGGTCCTTTAGTCATAGCAACAAAAAAATCTGACTAAAACACCACCCATTCATCATCAATCCATTCATCCAATCTCCATCCATCCATCCACCCATCCTTCTGATCATCCATCCATCCATTCAACAAGTGTTTACTGAGGGTCTGCTCTGAGCCAGTACTATGTTGGTGGCATTAAAACTTAGGACAAATAAAATGGATGAGGTCTGGTGAAAGAAATGGATGAGGGGATGGGGTTGTGGCTCAGCGGTAGAGCACTCGCCTGGAACCTGTGAGGCTCTGAGTTCAATCCTCAGCATCAAATAAACATAAATAAATAATAAAGAGGCTGTGTTGGGCTGGGGATGTGGCTCAAGCGGTAGCGTGCTCGCCTGGCATGTGTGCGGCCCGGGTTCGATCCTCAGCACCACATACCAACAAAGATGTTGTGTCCGCCCAAAACTAAAAAATAAATATTGAAAAATTCTCTCTCTCTCTCTCTCTCTCCTCTCTCACTCTAACTTAAAAAAAAAATAAAGATGCTGTGTTCAACTACCACTAAACAAATAAATAAATATTTTAAAAAAGAAAGAAAAAGATGATAAGAAGGCCCACAAACTATGAATTAATGCTATAAAGCAAAGGAACTTAGGTAAGTGAGGGACCTAATAGGACTGAGGATTCATAAAACTTCTGGGAAGAGAGATTTTAATGAGACCTGAAGGAAGGTAGGACTGGAACCTCCCCATAGTCCTGTTGGAGGATTAGATTTGATCTGGGAGGCTGAGCACATGGCCAAAGCTTGAGGAGAGCTCAAGGCCAGTCAAGATATCACACCCCTGATGACCAAAACCAGATCAAGGTGAGCCAGATTTATAGATAGGTAGTTATGTAGTTAGGTAAATCAGGTCTAATATGGAGTAAAATCAAGAGTGGAGGGCTGGGGATGTGGCTCAAGCGGTGGGGCGCTCGCCTGGCATGCGTGCGGCCCGGGTTCGATCCTCAGCACCACATACAAACAAAGATGTTGTGTCCGCCCAAAACTAAAAAGTAAATATTAAAAAATTCTCTCTCTCGGGGCTGGGGATGTGGCTCAAGCGGTAGCGCGCTCGCCTGGCATGCGTGTGGCCCGGGTTCGATCCTCAGCACCACATACAAACAAAGATGTTGTGTCCACCAAAAACTAAAAAATAAATATTAAAATAAAAAAAAAATAAAAAATTCTCTCTCTCTAAAAAAAATTAAAAGAAAAAAAAGAGTGGAGGCCATTATAGAAAATGGAGTCCAGGAAACCAGAGCAGCACTAGGGGGAATTGAAAATGTCTCCAAGGCCCTAAACCCATCCCAAGGAAATGTTAATGAAGCAGCTCCCAGCAAACAAGGAGATGCTAATCCAAAAACCCTCCCTGCCCAGATTACTCCTTGGCCCACCGGTCCTCCACCCTTTGGGCCTTCACTGAAAGATAACAGAACAAAGGACAGGAATGCAACAGGAATGCTCCACGGATTCTACCTCTTGGTCCCCTTCTTCTTCTGGGGAGAAGTCTTTTCTACTGTCCTTTAATAAACTTTCCACTCTAAACTTGCCTCAGGGTGCTTCTCTGGTGTTATACTTTAACACTGAGGTAAACAGTGGTAACAAAGGTATGCATGAAACCTGAACTGATCCAGTCAGATTTTTCTAGGGAATTTTTGGCCCAAGATATTCTCTTAAGACCTGGATGGTATAGACTGTGGGTATGAGACATAGATTTTTTAACAACAAAGGAAGTTAGCCCAAAGATGAAGTTGACTTACAGAAGAAACTAGAATAGTGAAAAACCAGCCTCTATCTCAGAGCAAAGCCTGTCCAAGTGAAAGGGCAAAATTTCTAAGCTGCAAGGCCTGAGTTAAAAAGTGAAGGACCAGGTATTGTTAAGTTCCCTGCTACACCCCAAACCTGAAATTCCTGTAGCTGTTAGGACAATACCCAGAACTGCCCAGTAAATATATTCCCCCTGACCCTCTGGTTGTTTAATAACCTAGGTCCCTGTGTAGCTTGGCACGTAGGCATTCAGGGCCCAAACCAATCAGTTTGAATGTGTACCCCGCTTAGGAGTGACCAATCACCCCCGCCCGACGACCTGTTCCCGCAAATGAATGTACTAATCAAGTTTAAGAATTATTGTTGGGCTGGGGATGTGGCTCAAGTGGTAGTGCGCTCGCCTGGCATGCGTGCGGCCCGGGTTCGATCCTCAGCACCACATACAAACAAAGATGTTGTGTCTGCCAAAAACTAAAAAATAAATATTAAAATTCCCTCTCTTTCTCTCTCTAAAAAAGAATTATTGTTCAATTTTCCTGTTCCTCATGATGATTTGTTCTGATGTATGTAAAGCCCCCCCCTGGCCCCGCCCTCCCCCAAAAGTGTACTTAAGCACTGCTTCACCTCTGCTCTGGGCTCTGGGCTGCTCTCCCTTCTTGAGTGAGCAGGGAGCCCCAGTGCGCTGGATTGGATCCTCAATAAACCCCTTCTGCTGATTGCATGAGTCAGTCTCTTGGTGGTCTCTACCTCCGACATTCATGGGACCCTTACACAAGGAAGGGACATGACCTTTGTCCTTGGAAAGACCCACCGAGCATCCTAGGCACATTCCCACCCTGCTAAGTTGTTTATCTACAAATAACAGGAGAGATCTGCTGGGCCAGGTGTCCCTGACTCAGTCAGGCTAGGTGGGGACCCAAAGCAACCCCCTAGCAGCCACCAATCAGCATGAGACAAGGAAATACCTGGGATGCCAGATGACCCTCCCAGTAGTTCATGGTGGTTGATAATGTCTTGGGAAACCACATAGTTCAGCATGAACACCCCTCTTGGCTTAAACCAATCAGTTCAAATGAATCCCCCCTTTGTACTGACCAATCACCCCTACCCAACTTGTTTCCACCAGTGAATGTGCTAATCATGTTTTAGAGTTGTTATTTGATTTTCCCGCGGTGTGTGATGATTTGCTAAGAGATGCTATGATGTATGTGGGGGTCCCTGCCTTCTCCAAAGAATGTATAAAACTGCTGCAAACCCTGGGCTCGGAGCCTCTCAGCGTCACCAGTTGCTGTGTGTGCTCTCTCTCTCGGGGAGGACTGAACTAGCTCGAAATAAACACCTCTTTGCTGTTTACATCCATCTTGGTCTCTGGTGGTCTTTTGGGGGGTCCTGAATTCGAGGATAACAATAGAAGGTCATAGAGAAGCAGAGTTGGAATCCTAATCAAACTATGCCTGAAGGCTATCCTACTCTGGCCATAAGAATCAGCCAATGAGAAGTGTATTGTCTAAGCCAGTTTGAACTATATTTCCCATTACTTGCTGTCAAGAGCATCCTGATGATAAGCCAGAGAGGTGGAAGGGGCGATGGAGAGGCCCTCAGCTGATGAGACAGATGAGGTGTGGAGACAGGCATGACAGATGTTATTGCCTTCCAATGGCCCCAAAAGCAAGTGCACTGTGATCTGCACATGGAGTAGCTAACAGGAAGGGTGGCATATTGCCCTAGGGCTCAATGTGGGCTTCAAACTCCACCTTCAGATAGGTCTGGATAGATACTTCATATTTCACCTCCAGATAGGTCTAGTCCAAGCCTGATAGTTTGGACCCAAGAATGTGGTGATCTCCAGGCCAGAGGGCTGGCTTCTCCATGGGGTTTAGGGGTGTTGGAATGATCCTGGCCTGGTCCAGTACACTCTTGGCCCTGGAGGATCCCAGACTTCCACCAGCCCCCATGGTTTATTCTCCTGGTCCTGGTGGTACAGGCCTGTACCCACTGTACCTGCCCAACTCACTTGTCTTGGCTTGGCCATGGTGGGGACTGGCTCAGGTACCGGAATGGCCCGGGGCCTGGGTGTAGTCAGGTTGAATGCCTTGGGCTCTGTGACCTTGGCCTTGGTCTTGAAGATAGCAGTTTGACTAGCTGACACTCCCTCCAGTTGATCAAGAAGCTCCTGGATCTCTGGCTGCCATCTAGAAGGCAAAAGTGGAGTCCCTGGGTCAACAAGGTGGCCCCGGAATCTGGAGGACCCCCAAGCACTGGGGTTTCCAATAGGCTGAGAGTGGTGAGGGGCCAAAAGCCCTTCTACTTCTCTCAGTCACAGTCTAGGCATACCCCCATGACTTGGTATCAGCACTCCCCTTGCAAGATGAAAGAACAGCCCCAGAGGCACTGATAGGAGGGCATGTGGAGGCCCGGGACATCCCACAGTAGGAAGCTGGGAGGCTCTGTGGACAAGAAGCAGGCGGGACCTAGAGGGAGCTAATCTGGGACAGAGCAGATGGCACAGATGGAGGAAGTCAGGAGCTAGGAAAGGAAGCTGGCAGTGGAAAAGGAACATTCGAGTGGCTCTTTCATGACAGGTGGAGGGAGCTGCAGGAGTCAGGTGGGGCCAGGGCCATATCCCCCGCAGGGAGCCCAACTGTCCTCCACGCAGCCTCCGGAGTGGGTGCTCTGGAGAGGCTGTGGACAGAAGAGTTCTGTTGGGCTGCCCCAAGGTCTAGGCCACCCCTTTCTGTGTTCCACATCCCATGGGCACAGCCTGTGCAGGGTCCTCTCCTGTGGGGCTCTCTGGGAGCAGATGGGGGGCTTGAAGTGGTGCCTGCCTCACCCTGAGAATCAAGGCCGCCTTGGGAGGAAGGCTCCTGAAAGGGGTGACAGCAGGCTCGGCCCATGACCCTTGACCCTCAACCTTGGAGCAGGAAGTTTGTGATGGGGCTGGTCCCAGAGTGGGCTGGGGAAGCCTGCAAGCAGCGGGGAAACCAGAGGGACGTCCTCCTGCTTGTGGAGGTCTGTTCTGATGGCCAGCAGCAGGCACCAGCTGGGGCTGGGGAGCTCCCTTGCTGAAGAAGTGATCCTGGGGTCTCCCACAGCTGGGGCCAGGGCCTCCTACACATAGCTCCCATATATGATGGTCTGCCTGCACCAGATGGTCTGCCTGACCCGAGGAAGCAAGGTGACCCGTCCCCAGGCTTTCCCTGGGGAACCCCAGCTGTGTCCTGGTCCCAGTGGGAACTCCCATGGAGGAGCAACTATGCTGACCGTTTTGCCTCAGGTCCTGGCCTGTCACTGCTTTTGCCCCAGGTCTCCTGTGGAGGCAGGGAAGGTGGCAAGAGCAGCTTTGTGGTGGCAGGCCTGAGAGTGGGGCTCGGGGGACACCAGAGAGAGATTTAGGCCTTATTGCATCAGGAGCTGAGCTCTGAGCTCCCCCAACTCCTCCCTGGCCTATACTCTTGGGATCTGCAGAAAGCCCTGATGGACTGGGGACACTGTCACAGACCCCTCAGTGGGTGGGCTCCAGAGCAGAAAGCAGATTCTTGCCATCTGACCTCCATCAGTTGGCTTCCAGCACGGAGGGCCCTGGGTCGGCTGGCTGCAGAACGCCTGTTCCCCAGGCCCAGGCAGGGGAGCACAGGGCTTGGGGCTGCTTGGAACCTCTCACCCTAACACAGAGCACTTTCTGACTCACGGAACTTCTCAGGGCAGGAAGGGGATGAGGAGGCCCCCCCCCCTCCCCCCCCCATGAGGCATCTGGAGTGGGGACAGGGTATGTCCAGGCACACCGATACCCTCACAGCTGCCTCACCTCATTAGGGGGTTGATCCAGTTCTCCTTCACATGGGCGGTCTCGTAGACGAGGCTCCATTCGTCCTTGATCCAAGAGCATAGGTTTAAGGGGTTGAAAAAGAACCTGAGGAACTGAGGGAAGAGGGAGTCCTAAGGGGCGGGGCCACTAGGGGCGGAGTCTTGGCCTCCACCCCCACCCCCCACTGGCACCCCAGCACCCTCACCTGCCAGCAGCAGGCAGAGTGTGATGCTCAGGGTCACATGGCACTGCAGGTGGCTAAAGAGACTGTGCCCTCAAGGCAGACCCTGGTCCTGGTAGGGTCCCAGGTAGGGAAGGGGCTCCAGCTCTGTGACTGTCCCAACCCAGCAGGGCGCATTCTCTCCAGAATGGGCTTGTGTGCCCATCAGCTCCTAGGACCCCAAAGGCCCCACAACCCACTTCTGAGTAGGTGGTTGGTGACACACATGGAAAGCTGTCTGCCTTCCAGCCCCTGGCTCCAAAGGCTCTGGAATTCCGGGAGTGGGATTCTGCCATTCTGCCTTACCCTCTCCCCAGGGCATTACCACTGGGTGACCTGGAGAGTCCTCTGCCTGCCCACCTTGGGGAGGTGACTTGTCTCCCCAGACCCTTGTAGCGGGAGGCTGGTCCCAACTGTGGGACTGCGGCTGTTTTCCCTGGCCAGGGCAGGCCCTGCTAGGCCCTTGGATGGCCCAGAACCAGCCAGAACTCCCAGGGTCTGGGGGTTCTGAAGGCCATTCCCCAGCTCCTGGTTCCCAGGTCCAGCTTTGATTCCAGAGGAGATAGGGCTGGTTTAGTTTCTGGGCTGGAGCCGCCTGGGGAGCTGCATGGCTCCTACACAGGACAGACTGTCAGCTGGCCAAGAAGGGCCAAGGTGGCCCTCGGTACTGCTGGGAAGAAGGTGTAGGCCCCATCCTTTCCTGAGGGGCAGCCAGCCTGGGACCCCTGGAGGCCGTTCTGTGGGGGGTGCAAGTCGTTGACTGTCCCCCCACCCGGCTACCACTCTCACTGGGCCCCGCCTCCAGCTCAGGGCCTTGTGCAGTTGAGCTGAGCACTGGAGACCACTCAGTAAAGGTTCCCAGAAAACCAGCCAGGAGGACAGCCCAGGGCCCCAGGGCTATCACAGGGGCCACTGTGTGCCCCAGAAGAACTCTGTGGTGACCAGAACACATGTTGCCCCAGTGTGGGTCCGTGAAGTATAGTCTGGGCCTTGGGAGCAGGAAGCGTATTGGGGAGGTAGCCCAGGAAATTCAAGGGTGACAGAGGGACAGCAGTGAGCAAGGCTTTAGGTACACTGCTGCCTCCAAAGCAGGAGCCCCAGCACAGCCACCTCCCCTCACCAGCCTCCTGCCCTGCTTGGCTCAGGCCTTCTCCACACAGAGGCAACTCAAGATCCTCCCCAGCCCTCCAGCTGCCCCTCTTGGTCATCTGCTCACCCCATCACTCACACTAGTGGCCTCCTTCACCTACCCTGCCTGCAGGGCCTCTGGGCCTTTGCCTGTGGCCACTGCCCCTCACACTCTCCATTCTTCTTCTGGCTGTCAGTCATGATGCTACTCTACACCCAAAGGGGGCAGCTGGCCCCTGCACTGGGCCCCTGTGGTGGTCATCTCCTCCTTGCTGGCCTGCCTCCATTTGGGCACGCCCTATTGGTCCCATCCAGGCTTCCTGGGACTGTCCCCCCACCCGGCTACCACTCTCACTGGGCCCCTGCTGGGGCGGGCTGGTTTTGGTATGTCTGAGGCAGTCCTCTAGCTCTCGGGTGGATTCAGTCAGCATGTGGGGAGGGGCTGGCAGGAACATTGGCCCCCTCCTCGAGCATCCCAAGGCCACTCCTCCCAGAAGTGGTGGGTAACATCTGGGGAGGCCATGGGAGAGCCAGCCTGGGCACACTACCACTTCTGACCACAGCAGTGATGGCATTCCAGAGGGGTCATCCTGTCTTTTAGGCCCCTTTCGTGTCTTCCTGGAGCCCTGAGGTGGCTAGGGGGGCCAGGCATCAGCCAAGGGCGACCGCTGGATCTGTAGCTTCTCGGTCCCCTGGGAATCCACATGGGGCTGTCTGGGCTGGTCAGTGACCAGCACCAGGAGTGTGATGTGTGGCCTGCACTGGTGCCTCTGCTGTCACCACCACAGGGCCCAGGGCCAGATGAGGATGGACCTTGCTTGGCATCACCAGGGTCCAGCATGGGCAGTGGACATCAGCCAAGCACAGGTCCTCTAGCTGGGCAAGCTGCCCTGGCCAGCCTCAAGCATTTCTCGGAAAACAGTCCCTTCATAAAAATGAAACCCCTTGCTTAGGAAAACTACAAATATTTATTCATCATAAGCTCCTCGTGTTTACATGTGAGCAGGAAAATGTCCTGGACAGACCAAATGCCAGCTGCTGCCCCTCATTTCTCCTTCATCAGTTAGATAGTCAAGATGCTGTGTGAGCAGGTATTCTGGGTCACTGTGGCTGTGGATCTTGTGGGCACTGCTGCTCCAGTCTCCCATTCCCCAGCACTCCTGGTCCTGCAGCCTCTCTCTCAATCTTCTCCAGGAAGCCATTCCCATGCCAGTGACCAAGCCAGTGGCTAACAGAATGTGCTCACTACTCATGTGCTGTGTGACACCAGTTGAACACTTAACCTCTCTGTCCCCATTGCCTTAAGTGAGGGATGTAGGAGCAGCCCCATAGGATGGTGTGAGGGTGAAGCAAGAACAACACTGTGGGCTGCTCAGGAAGCCTGGCCCACAGGGAAGGTGCACTGAATGTCCTATAGAAACGTGGGCAGTGGACAGGCAGGCAGGCAGCAGGCACCTGGGATCCCTTCTGGCAGCAGCAGTATGTGGTCTTGGAGGGAGGGGAGGCTGTGCAGGGCCTAGCGTTTGCTCAGGAGGTGGAGAAGCCCCAGGAGGCTCCAGAGGCCCAGCTGACCCCAGGGCTTCTCCTTGCCCTGGCTTATCACTAACAGTGCAAGGTACCACCCACCAGAACATAGGAGCACAATCAAATCTTCCTGCAGCAATGAGCCCATTCTCCCCAGAAGTGACCAGAACAACCCACCAGAGTTCCTCTCATTGAAAGAAACCTGGAGGTGCTCCCAGGGGACCAGCGGCCTCCCTTGGCAGCAGCCATCCTGGGGCTCACCTTGCAGGTCTTGCGTGTGGGCTGGGACTTGATGATGCTGCAGAAGAGCTGGAAGCCGAGCTCATCCAGCTGGAACGTGGCCAGGTAGCACAGCACTGCAGAGGGGGTGCAGCGTGAGGGTGCGGCTGCAGAATTGCCAGAGGGAGGCCTCCCAGGCACACCCTGCCCACCCTGCCCAGGACACACACCCAGCTCCTGCTGAAGGTCCCAGGATGGACATCCCCAGACAACAAGGAGCGAGGTCTTAGAGTGGCCGTGGTTTGCCGCCACTGTGTTGTCCCATTTGATCAGTTCTCAGAGGTTCCTCTGAGGGATAGATGGTGTCACCTGACCTTGCAGCCTCCCCCATGGCCTCCCACCAGGACTGGGCAGCCCCCACCCCTCCCTGAGTGTGCACAAGGGCCAGCCTGCACCAGGAAAGGCAGAGGCCAGAGGTGCCTGTGTTTAATGACTCAGCGAGGTCCAGACTGTGGCCTAGGGCCTGCTCCAAGGCCTCAGGGTCAGGGGTCAGGAGTGGCCCAGGAAAGGCGCCAGGCTTGCCCAGTCACCTTCCCTCGGGGGGCCAGACTCCTCTGACCCTGTCGTGAGCCTGAATCTCAGCGTCCCCATCTATGAAGTGAGGAGTCACGCCACCCTGGTCCACCCTCTCACAGATCACCATGAGTCTCAGTGAGGACATAGGTTTTGGTGGAACTGCAGCAGGAGCCTCTGCAGCCTAAGAGCAGCCCCTGGCTCCCTTGGTGGCTCTGCTGAGGTCTGACCACCCCTTCAGCCCCTGGTTCTGGAGTGGCAGCAGCCTGGGGCTTAGGGACAGGTGGGATGGGCACCCACCCTGGAAGAGGCTGTAGTCAGCCCAGAGGCAGAGTCGGCCATCCCGTACGTAGAAGGCGTCTACCACGATGGTCAGCAACTTCCAGTATTCAAGACAGCCGGACAGGACCTCCATCACGAACGCCTGCTTCAGGGGGCTCAGGGCCTGGAGGGCAAACAGCCAGGTGGGCAGCAGCTGGGGGGGGCAAGGCGGGGCAGGGCTGAGGTAGACTAGGGGAATGATCAGCGTGGTGGAGACAAGCCTAGGGGACCTCCCTCACTGAGGACAGGGAGGTCCAGAGTCAGGCAGGATGGTGGCTTCATGGCACCTGCATATGCCCAGTGCCCCTGGATGGGACGTTTGTGTCTTGTGCATCTTACCACAGTAACTTAGCAAGTGGGCTCAGGCCAGGTCCCAGACACAGGGATGAAGACAAGAGGTGAGGGGAGTGCCAGCAGGAAAGCCTGCAAGACCAGTGGGTCCCCGCGCAGCCCCTGTGGCCCCAGGGCCACTCTCCCATTCGCCCTTGGAACATTCTGGGTTGTGGCCTGTGCAGGACGCACGTTAATTATTCAATAAGAAAAGAAGGTTTCCAAATTAAGTTCTGAGAAGTTTTTCAATTTTTGAAGGTGGCAGGAAATGAAGGGTCTGACGTCTCCAGCCAGCATGGGAAGGGCTGGTGCAGACAGATGCTTAGCCTTTCCCCAAACAGTTCAGAAATGGGTTGAGAGAGTCTTGTTTTCCAGAACTTTCAGCTCAATGAGGGCGTTTCCAGGAATCTAAGGAGGCTGTCGGCAGGCACACAGGTGCTTCCAGAGCCATGCACTGTAGACGTGGAAATGGGACTAGCCAGACTTCAGCCTCTCCAGGCCCTGGAGACAGATGAGAGTAGGGTGGTGACCCCTGGGGGTGAGGCATGGAGAGACAAGGGGACACATCCCTGCAGTTGGCATGCGCTCCTTTGGTAACAACTTCAAAATTACTGCCAGGCTTTGCTCCAGCCAGTTCCCTCTTTCAGCAGGCCCTGCAGCCTCAAAACCTTCCGGAAGAGCTGAGCCAAGGAGGCCTCAGAGCCGCAGCAGAGCAAGAGCCCGACACTGTGGCTCACGGCTGTTACCCAGGATGAGCTTTCTTTTACTGCTTTTTTTTCTTCTGTGGTGCTGGGATGGCCCCCGGGGCCTGGACAAGTCATCTCTGCTTGCTTCAGTTCCCACTGCCTGTCTCCCTGAGGACGGGCTGAGCCTCTGGTGTCCCAGACACAGGAATGAAGACCCTCCTCTTCCTCATTCAACAGAGGCAGCAGATGCCCTGGGAGGTTATCAATTGTCCCCTCTAGTTACAAGGTCACTGGACACACCTGTGAGTACAGGCAGGGCTGCTGAGCTGGCTCTCATTTCAGCCACCAGCCTCTGTCCCCCTCCCCTCTGGCTTCCCTGACTGCAGGCTGCACCCACACCAGAGGGCACCACCCCTGCTGGGTCCCAGGAAGCCCAGGTCCTGGGCCTAGGAGTCAGAGGGTGATGAGTCATCTGTGCTGAGGGCTGGGTGACTCTCAGGACTCTGGACAACTTCTTCTGGTCTCTGGGGCTAAGATAATAGGGATTCTTTCTCTCATTAGTTACGAGTGTGTTCGGGATGTGTGACAATGTCTTTTTAATAAGAGCAGGTGTAGGCTCTGACGCCATCAGCCCTGGGCAAGGTAGGCCTGGCAGAGAGGCATCGGGCAGAGGACCTTGCAGATGCAGGGCTAAGTGGGACGAGGCAGTGCCAGTAAATGGCACCTGGGTCCATGTGCCAGGCTGGGCCAGAGGCCAGGTCCTTGCAACTCGGGAAGGACAACCATGCTGGGCTTGCAGCTCCCAGGACAATGGTGTTCACAGAGACAGACTGATCCTGGAACTGGGAATGGGGTGAGAGGTTGCTGAGCACTCAGCCCTGGCCTGGGTTCTGGGTCTGGACAGGTAGGCTCCCTTGCCCAGGAGTCAGGGCAAGGCCTCAACTGCACTAAAGAGGTCTTGATTCCCAGCCAGGCTGTCACTGAGACCATGAGACATGGGTTGTGGCCACCAAAATTTGGGGCTTTGGTAAGTCCCCACCCAGGGAAATCAGTCAGCAATGACAGCTGTCCCAAGGGCAGGGGAACCAGAGGTCCAGATCCCTGCAGCTTCACAGTCACCAGGCCTCCTGTAGGAGTCACTCTGGGTCTGTGGAGCTAGCCCAGGGCCAGGCAGGACAGGGCCTGGTGCTAATCAACCACAGCTCAGGACTTGTAAGCCCTATTACCAAGACCTATCAGTCAGAGATGCAGACAGGTCAGGAGCCAAGGCAAAGAAACTCAGGCTGCCGGATGCCACCCAGAACCATCAGTCCTCAGACTTCCCCAGTCTAGTGGGCCTCAGGCCCACTTCTCCCCCAGTCCTGGGCCCAGCACTCCCGCAGGAGCTCTGGGTGGTTCTGAGGCCCCATCTGTTCCCAGTCTGCCCCTCTGTCACAGGCCTCCAGTAGGAGGCGGATTTCCTGGGGCTATTGCAGCAAATGACCACAAACAGGGTGTTGGAGACAGAGAACAGCCTCTCATGGCTCTGGAGGCCCAGTCTGGAGTGGAGGTGCACCAGAGGAACACCTATGCACCGTCCCTCCTAGCAGGGTCACGGGTCTCGATGCTTGGTGACTGATGTCTGCCTCCCTCAGATCACAGCCTTCTTTCCCACCTCTGGATTACCATGTGCTCTTTTCCCTGTGCCTGTGTCCACACTCTCTCCTCCTCCAACGCCATCCTCATGGTTAAGGCCCATCCTAAATTGAGGAGCCCTCATCCGCAGGCTTCAGCTCACTCACACTCATGTAGACTGCAGGCCTGTGACACATCTGGGGCACAGCCCAGCCTTCCACGTGCCCTTCATCAGACTCCACCTGTTGGTTTCTGTGTTGTATGACTTTCCGGCAGGTGGTGATCTGCAGCCCTGGCCTGAGGAAGTCGGTGTATTACAGCTGAGATGAAAGCGAGTTGTCCAAACTGGGTCAGTCTCCAAGGCCCCATTCCACTTTGACTTCAGAGGGACGTTTTGCAGTGAGCAAAAGGGCCAGGGTCTGTGAGGCAGGTGCTGCTCCGCCACCCGTGTGAACGCCAGTGCCGGCCTCAGAGGTGCAGGGCCAGTGCCCCAGGCTGCGCCAGCTGCACTCACTGCTGCAGGTCTGCAGGATGGTGTCGGGGTGCTAGGATCCCCAGGGAAAGGCACACACATGGGTCACACATGACTCAAGGACCAGGACCAACCCCAGGCTGTTGCTGTGACTCACGCTCCTGCCTGGCACTCAAGAAGCGAAAACAGTAGCTCTCCCTTTCTTGCTTGAAGAACCAGCCCGCTCTCCCCACTGTAGGCTGAGGCAGGTGACCAGGAGGGGGAACGGTCAGTGTTAGGAACAGCTGGAAACCAGTGTGGCCAGAGCAGTGGGCATGGGGCTCAGAGAGGGTCAGGGCTGGAGGAAGGGCTGGGAGCAGGCCAGATGACCAAGCCTCCTGAGGACCCTGACAACCAGAGGCCAGAGCCCAGAAGGAGCAGTGCCGGGCTCCAGGGGCACGTTGCAGAGTGGGGTAACTGTGCCAGGCTGGACCTACAGGTTCCGTGACAAGGAGGTCGGGGGTAGGGCCTGGAGCTGCCAGCGGAGAGTGGGGAGAGACTGCCTGGAGGTGCTGTGCTTCGCCGTCTGACCTACAAGACCTGATGGACATGGACTCGCCCTTGTGGTCGTGTTTAGGTGGAACCCTGGAGAGGGCATGTGCTCTGCCTCTTCTCCTTCCTGGATTCTGCCACAGGATGAGGGCCCTCAACAGATGCCAGCATCTTTATCAATCTTAGACTTCCCAGGCTCCCCTGACTGGGAGAAATACATTCTGTCACACATAAATTACCGAGCCTCAGACATTCTGTTATAGTAGCACACAGACTGGGACAGAAGCTTGAGGGACATGGGACGAGCCCCAGACAATGGGCAGGTAGTCTTGGTGGAAAGGGAGGTGCCAACAGGAGCTGCAGGAACTTGGGATCCAGAGGCCTTTGTTGCTGAAAGAAGGAGAGAGGGAGCTGCTAAAGCCAGGCCCTGGAGCAGGTGGGTCCAGGTCACGGGTCTAGGTGACAGGCCATGGGCTGGCTTCCAGGGCAAGATTCTGGGCAAGGGGATCCAGCTCTGTGTAGGGAAGAAGTTGGGCCAAGCTGTGCAAGGGCTTCCCCAGTTCTGACCCTTGCTGTTTTCGTTGTGTCCCCGAAATGATGAGGTTGTTAGAGAAAGAGCAGGAAGCAAGGAGGTGCTGAGGTGGGGAGGAGGCCCAGTGCCCTCTAGGGCCTCCGTCCTTGCTCACTGCAGCCCCAGCTGGAGGAAGGACTCTTCCAGAAGCTGGGGAGCAGGAGTCAGAGGTTCTAAGCTTTCTCTCCCATGACAGGTCTTGGCCCCCAGTCCCTGCAGCCTTTGCCCACACCTTCCTGCCTCTGGGCTTTTTGGATGCTACCCAAGGGCAGGTCTCTCAGTAGGAGATACCGGTGCAGGTAATGGGTTGGGGTGTGGCCAGGGACACTTCCCTGGGGCCGTGGCAGTAACAGCCTACTGAGGCCATTTCAAACAAGAGCAGCAACCAGCAGCATGCAGCAAGATTGCTTAGTTAGTAAAGGCCCGCTTTTGCTCATGCAGCAAGATTGCCTAGTTCTTCCTGCCCCCTCACCACTAATGCACTTCTGACAACACCACCCTTCAAGGGTGGGTGCTTCCTGGGTGGGATGGGGGAGCACCCATGTGACAGTCCCCCAGCTCTTCCCCTGGCACCTGCCCTTGATGACATGGGGTCAGAGACCGCCTATGGGGGATAGGGATCAGATGACAGGGAGGGTCCTTGTGGGGTAAGGTGCTGGGGTGGCAGGTGATGCTGAAGCGAGGCAGACTGAGGACTATGGGCTTCTCCTCTCCCAAGCCCAGGTTTTACATCCCAGGGGTCCAGTTTCTGGACAGGAACTAGGGAGAGATGGAAAAGGATCCCTGGGGTGGGGGCAGGAGCTGAGGCGTAGGTGGCCAGCCTCAAGGTGTGAGCAGAAAGATGAAGGAGGTGGGGGGATATCAGTGGCTCCCCAAGGCCTCAGTGCCTTGGTCTACCCCTGACTCTGCTGGAGGTCCCTGGCCACTTGCTGCCACTGTGAAGACAGCTATAGACCCTCCAAACTAGGGGTGGGTGTGCAGGGGCTCAGGGATCCCTCTTCTTATCTGTGTTGATGACAGAACTAGGTAGGGACATGATCCAGAGTTAAGCGTCTCCCCACATAGTCCAGTGTAATGTACACCTGGGTGCTGGACACACTGGGAGGGAGACTCGCCTTGGGGCCCCTCCTGGTAGGCAGGAGGCCTTTGTTAGGCATGGACTTGATAAGCCCATGAGAGGGAAATGCCAGTGACTCAGCCTCCCAGAAGTCCAGGGCTGCCCTGACCCTACCTGCAGAGAGGAGGATGCAGCCTCCAGGAACTGGTCGGGACTGTCCTTCTCAGGCTTAAACTTGTCCAGTTGCTCTATCACGACATCGATGCATTTTCCATAGTAGGCCATCTTCCTGAGAAGGACCCTAAAAATAAAACATCATGGGTCACCTTCTTTGCAACTTCTAGGTGGCTAGTGTGACTGGGCAGAAGTGGCTGCAGGACCCTTACCAGCACTGATGGAAGTCCACCAGGCTGCTAGGGACCTTGAGCAATGAGGCCTGTTGATGCTAGTGGGGACCCTGGCTCAGGTCACCTGAGACCAGTTCCTGGAAAGTCCTTTTCAGGTCTCTGCTGCCCCAGTGGCCGGTGTTGGTGTGGTTGCTCCCAGGTCACCACCACTCACTAGAGCCCAAGCCCACTCCTCCTTGTACCCTGAGGCTCCCAGGCTTGTCCCAAGGCCAAACTGCAGATGGGGGCCAGCCCTGGGAATGACTCAGGCCAAGAACAGGCCTTAGTCCAGCCTGGAAGGGTGGCTGCTTACTTGGCAGGCCCTGATCAGAGCAGGTGACCAAATCATAAAAGGCTATGGCAAGGAGCAGCCTGGGGTTCCTAGTTCCAACACCACCATTCTAAACACGAGGCACCCGAGACTCAGAGAGGATGCACAGCTGCTAAGGGGCCAGGTCTTGAGGGTGCTGAGCAGCCAGGCTGGCCTGGGGTTGCTCCCAGGGTGTCCTGGGAGGAGAGGCTCAAGGTGAGGCCAAGCCCTAGGAGCTGGCTCTACTGACTGCAGGTGGCCCCAGCTGTCCTCAGAGGAGGTGGACCTTGTTAGTAAAGGCCTGCTTTTGCCCATGCAGCAAGATTGCTTGGGCTTCAGTGGGACTGCTCAGGAGCTGAGCAGTAGCCAGGCCACTCCTGGGACTCCCTTCCCACCAACCCCTTTTCTCGTTCCATGATTGAGTGGCCACTGGGAGTGGTGGGCGGGGTGCAGGGCCACCCTTGGCAAAGCTGGGTTGCTGATGCTCTGGGGACAATGGGGGCAAATCTTCTCCACTGGCCAGTGAACAGGAGCAGCCCCAGACTTAGACCCTCCAGGCTGTCAACTGACTGGAAAAGCAGAGTTGGAGGGCCTTCAGTGAGATGGTCAATCCCAGCCAAGACCACCAGGAGTTGACTTCCCTCTCCTGCCCCCAGGAAGATGCAGAAGGCAGGAGAAAGGCACGTTGAAAATTAAGTAACAATCCCAAAATGTCAAATTCCATTTACTAGGAGATCAAGGAAGAGGAGAGAAATAAGATAAGAAATGCCAGGAATTGAAGAATGGGTTCTCTAGCAGAAGAGGACATGCTGAGTGCCCAGAACAATGAAGGAGCTAAGAAATGTCAAATCAGGGAGTCCCCAGTGCTTTCAGCCTAGGCCAGGGCTGCAGAGTAGCCTCAGGCTTTGGTGACTGCCAGCCTTCAGGACACAAGGCCCTGAATATCCCCAGGAGCAAGCCCAGGGAGGACAGATGTGGGTCCCGGATGCTGGGCCTGAACCCAAGGAAGCACCATGGTGGGGGACTTGGGGAAGGAGATACAGGTGACCCCAGGGGGATATAGGTGGCAGAAGAGGGATGCAGAGCAGAAGGTCAGGCTTGGGGGCTGTCTCTAAGAGGATCCTGGATGCTCCTTGGGTGGGGGGTGTCACTGAGCACTCAGGGAAAGACACACAGATGCCTTATTGCCCAGGGCTGCACTCCAGTCCCTGCGCCTGGCCTGACTTGGGACTGTGTGCTTTGGGCTGCTCTGGGTCCTAACCCTGACTCTGCACATGCATAGAAGCCAGCACGAGCCTCTCTCTAATCATGTCAGAGGAGCAGAATTTAGAAATCAGCAGAAATTGACTTGAAGCTTTGGTGCCAAGAACAGGCCCTGGAGACCAGGTCCTGGAAAGAGAAGCCAGTGAGCTCCTTGGGTGCCCAATGAGCCAGCCACTGGTACCAGCAGGATGCTGACCCACCCTGGCTTGCCATGTCAGGCGCCGGGTTACCTTCCCTGTGTCTAGAGACTGCAGGGCAGCCTCCATGTGGATTCCTGTGGGCGGGTGCAGCCCTGATGATGGAGGAACAGGGAGACACAGTGGCACTCTGGATGGGGTGCCAGATTAAATTGTTAAACATGCACTCCGCAGACACCGGGATGTCATTCCAGTCAGGTGTAGCCCCAGGCAAGACAAAACATTTGTGGGAGGCCACCCTGTTCCCTCTGCTGGTCCTCCTGTCCTCCACAGCCTGCCTCCCTGAGACCTTCATGGAGCTGGTCCCACCTCACCCTCTCCAGGGAGCAGGAAACCTCTGCTCACTCAAAGGCTGCGCAGCAGGAGAAGGCAACCCCCCTTTGCCTACCAGGGTCCTCTCGCTTTCTTTGGAACTCAGGTCACTTAGTAAGTCCCCTTGCTGCAGGAGTGAGCAGAAAGACCAGTGAGGGCCTGCTCTTTGCTCCCCCTTCTGTGATGGGTTTGGAGCTGAATTCTGTGTCCTGTCCTTGGTTGGGTTTTGTCGTTGCTGTTGTGGGGTTTTTTTTCCTCCTTGGGATCAAACCCAGGATCTTTCATATGCCAGGCAAGTGTTCCATACTGAGTGACACCCGAGCCTTGGAGTCTCCTTGGAAGGGTCTGAGTAGCTCAGGCACCCAGCTTGGTAGGGATGGGTCAGGGCTTGTCCTTAGTCTCAGGCCCAGACCAGTCTTGGTGACACAGGTGGATCTGAGCAGCTGTCACATGGCCATGAGGGGGAATGTCTAGCTTGCTGAGCCCACTTTCCTGAGAGTGCTTATGGGGTTGAAACCTGTGGTTTTCCCTCCAGGCACCATTAGGAACCAGAAGAGAGGGAGCTCAGCAGATCATCAGTCCTGGCCCTGTCTTCACCACGGTCACCCACAATGGGACACTCTTTAAAACTCCGTAGCACAATGGGGTTCTTGAGGGGTACAGTGGGGTGGACCTGCCATTTACCTGGAGAACACAGAGCAGGGATAAGGACAGGCACTGGCTGGGCACTGAGGGGTTTGAGTTTTGTCCCTTGGGTGGGGTCTGCCTCACCAACTATGAACAGGAGAATCACTCATACTGGGGGTTCTTTCAGACATGATCCTTAGGAGAGGGACAGGGCCACTTGTGGAGCAGGAAGCAAAAGGAAGCACCCTGCCTACAGCTCAAGGGTGGGCTGTGCCCATCCTGTAACTGGGAGGACAGGCCAGCACCTGTAGCTGTGTGGATGGATGCAGGCAGGGAGGAGGCAGCCAGGGAGGTCCAGTGGAGGCTGTGCACTCCTCCTGGAGGGCTCAGTCCTGGGCAAAGACAAACGCATAGTGTCTCTGTGCCCTAGACTCTCAGGGTGGGGGAGGAAAATGGGTAGGGTTAAGGACAGGAGAGGCCCACATACCTGGAAGGGATGAGGGAGATGTGGGTTTATGGGGGCCTTTGTGATGACTGAACCAGGGGATCTGGTGCCCAAAGCTTGGGCCCAGAGTCCCTTTCCTGAGACCTGCACCTACCATGGCAAGTGCCCTGATGCCAGGTCCTAGGCATGGTTCCTGAAGCCCCCTCAGGTGGGTTCCTGCCCAGCCTGCCCTTGTCCTGTTGATCTTTTCCTGCCGTTGACCCTAGCCCTGCAGGGCCTGCACCCTCATGAGCTGGCATAGTTCGCGGGCCCTCATTCCACTTTTGCTTGCTCCTCAGTGGAAAACAACCCAGGCAGCCCTATGGGTGGGGGGCTCCAGAGAGCCCCTCTTTCTCAGGTTCCCAGCTCCTAGTTATTCCTGCCTTGGCAGCAGAGATACTATCTGGTGGCCTCCTGGGAGAAGCTCTGAGGAGACACCCATTTCCATGATTTGCTGTCTGTACCTCAGCAAAATCTTGGCTTTTCTCAGACTAGTGGACAAAAGCTGACCAAGAGGGTCAACAGCAAGGGCTCGTCTTCACCCCATATCCTCCTCTAGCAGCACCCCTCACGCTTGGTCACTTGTGCTGGTGGGAATCCTTTTCTAGGGCCTCGTTGTGAGATGGCACAGAACATGTCCACAAGAGGCCTGCCTAGCCTGGCCTTAAGCCCACTCCCTAGACTTCCCAGGGCAGTGTTCCTGAGGGCCTGTACTAGTGGGAAAATAGTAGGGGACCCCAAGTTTTGGGCCTGAGCTGCAGGGGTGGGTGAGGTCTGGGGAGGCATGGCTTCAGGAATCCATTCGTCCACTGCTAATAGACCCTAGGTTGTCAGCTGCCGTGGTCCAGATGGATCTTCTCAGCATGTCCCAACTCCTTCACAAACCGAAGTCACCATCCTGGGGCCCTCCTCACCCTGCCCTGTCCACTTGGGTCCTTTAATGGCTTAGAAGTTCCTCCACACATGGCCCCTGAACCTCAAACAAGCCTTCCCTTTCTCTTTTCTTTGACAAACTCCTAGATGTCCTTCAACACCCAGCTCAGATATCAACACCAGAGAGGTCTGCTTCCTCTCCACTCCCCGCTCCTGCAGGTCTCCTTGAGGCCATCTAAACACCCACTGCAAGCACCGAGCACCACAGAAGGGGCCCTGCTTGAGTCCTGGCCCTTACTCCAGGACTGGCACTTCACCAGTACCCAGGAACATCTGTGGAATCAATGCTGAGTGTGACACAAAAAGGACCAAGTCCTTAAACTGTGCCCTGAGTTTGAATCTGAAAGATGGCTCTGCAGAAATAAGACCTACTCAATGGTCATATTACATTCTTTTTAAAAATAGATGTTTTTAAACCTTTACTCACATGGATTCTATAGTGCAATAGAGTTCAGTTGTTCTAACTCAGCCAATTGGGAGATAAATGCCACAATAACGTTTTCTAAGGAAGTAAGAGAATAAAACCCCGATGGTCTCAGGTGCCCCTGTTCATGCAAGCACTCGCCAATCCAGAGTGGACCTGGAGGGAAAGAACTGGAAGGAGTGAATGGATGCACCAAGCAGAAGGCAAGAAGGGGGAAGTGGGGCTCCTCTGGAGCCCAGCCCAATTCAGGCCCTCCGCTCTCGTCGCACCACTCTGCTCCCTGACAGGCTGTGTTCCAGGGCAGGCCCTGCACCCCACACCTGGCACAGAGCAGGTGCACTGTGAGTGGGCATGAGGAAAAGGAGGCTTGAGTTCTGGATCCCCACTGACATCACCCTGTGACTTGAGCCCACACAATCATGTCTTTGGATAGAAAATGGACATTCTCTGGCATGCTTTTAGCACCTCAATGTTATTTGCTCATTCATTCTTAGCTTAATTTTATTTTATTTAGCTTTTATGTTATTAATTGCAGCGAGGGAAATGGAACCCATGGCCTCACACACGCTAGGCAAGTGCTCTGCCACTGAGCCACATCCTTAGCCCCTCAGTTTTATTTTATTTTATTTTTATTTTAATCTTTATTTTTTTAGTTATTGGCGGACACAACATCTTTGTGTGTATGTGGTGCTGAGGATCGAACCCGGGCTGCACGCATGCCAGGTGAGCGCGCTACTGCTTGAGCCACATCTCCAGGCCCCCCTCAGTTTTATTTTAATGATAAAAACCCATCTATGTGGGATTTAATTACCAAGCTTATTGATTTTTAACTCCACTAATCAAGACTTGACTACCTCATATTTAAGAACTTGAAAGGTGGGCTGGACTGGAGCTATTTTTTTTTCTTAGCAATCATTTATAGACAGAAATGGGAGTCTATGAAGGTTTAGATTCCATCAGACACAAACTCTCAACCAATAGGGACCTCATTTACATGAGATCCCACATGTATATTAATTGAAATATGCTTTTACCATGATGAAAGCTGGTTCTCTAAGGACTGCTGCCAAGTCACACCCCAATGGCTTAAGCTTCAAGCACAGCCCCACGTGGCTGGTCTTGCTAGTTGAGTCTCATCTCCAATCTCCTCTTTCTCCTAAGTAACAAAAGTCTGATGTTTTTTTTAGCTGGGCCTATTGCTGCTCAACTGAAAGCTGACATTTCCCAGCCTCCCTGGCAGCTCTGCATGGTCATGAGGCTAAGTTCTTCCACCGCAGAAGTAGAAGACTTCCTTTCTGGAAACTCGTTTCTCTTTTTCATCTAGTACTTGGGCTCAGAAGGTGCTAGTAAGAATCTGAGCAGCCATCCTGGAGGGAACCAGCTAGGCACCAGCACCCTGGACAGAGGATAAGAAGGCTGGAGCAGGGAATTCTTCTGAATTGTTTCAGGGGAGGCCTACCTCCCTCTCCTGTGCCTTAGGGAAGTGGCGCTGGATGGAAAGGACAGACCTCCCGCAGTATGAATCCGCTCCTACTGCCAGGATATGGGGCCTCTTTGCGCTTGTTTCTTCAGCTGTACAGGAGAATTTTAAGAGAGACCACCTATTTGTGTTTTAGCTGTCTACTTGACAAATAACAGGTACTCAAACTTTGGTGGGTCTGTGTGTGTTTGTGTGTGTGTGTGTGTGAGCGTTTTTAATAGATCCAAATTAGGGCACTATTGGAGGAAGTAGTGAATCCCAAAAAATGTCTTTTTAAAAAGCACTGTTTATTGTGGAGATTAAAACCAAACAGAACAACAAAAACAACACACAACACCAGAAAACACCGTTAACTGCGATCAAGGAGTTGGGAAGAAGACCAAAGAGGGAGGGAGATGTCAGCGAAACTCAGAGGAAGGAAGCAAGGAAGAGGAGAACCGGCAGGAGGGGAAGGTCGCGGGTGAGCCGAGGACCCGGCCACGCGCCCCGCTTCCTCCCGGTGGCGCTCGCCCGCACCCGCACCGCTCCGCACCCGCCGCCGCTCGGTACCTGCCTGCCGCCAGACCTCCTTGGCGCCTCCGCCTGCAGCCGCGGACCCAGCGCCGGCGGGGTCGAGGGTCGCCGCAGCGCAGCCGCGCCCCCTCGTCTTGGGTCGGCGGGACCTTCTCGTTTGGGCGCCGTCGCCTAGCAACCTCCGCGCTGGAGGCCGTAATCCGCGGAGCCCTGCATATGCCCCGCCCC